GGCTAAGGCAGAATGAAATTTTTTGTTGAAACAAAGTATTCAATGTACTTATAAAAGAATAAAACAGATGTGTGACGCGTTCGACAGTACACTACAGACAATAAGTACTGTAGTGGACAGCATAGAGATATAGAGTTGGATCTCATTTCCTGCTAAAGGAGGAATATAGCATTTTTGGAAAATTTTTACATAATTATGTCTAAATTTAACACTTCAGTGCTGTAAAGAGGAAATTTTGAATTGAACTCTAAGAATTTGATATATTATATCTGTAGCCTTCTTCTCTAGAGTCATTTACAGCTCACAGAGAAAGCTAACCGTCCAGGATCTTCACAGTGGACTTAACACTTGTGTAGCGCATCCAAAGAACTTTTTGATTTTGATCTTTACAGTACTTCGAGCATTTCAAATAACGTACCTCGCGGATGTATTGCTATTCTTGCACCTGCCACAGCTGTTGTTGGGAGGAAGTCGTTGACCGATTCAGTGGTTTCTTGCTTTAAAAAGTTGAGAAAATCAACAGTTCATGTCTTATGCGACAATTTGCTGTATACATTGGAACGACACTTACACTGATGGTGACTAGCAGTTTCAGACCGAACTTCATTCCAGCTCGATTTGTAGAATAGTTCAAGGAGGAATCTTCGTTGAATGAATAACAAGCGCCATAGATAGGATCCACAAATCGAGTAAAATCAGCACTGTGAAGCATTGTTAAAATATACTTTTCAATGTGCAGATGGGAGAGGAAGAGTCATACTTAGAACATTTTTTCCCGGAGAATGTGCATTCGGTGATCAGTTCATCAAACTTGTATAAGGCAGAGTCCAGTACCGCTGGACTCAACTGTGCAACCTCGAGCGCAAGGGTTTCACGGGCACGTTGATCAAGTTGATAAGGAAGGGACATCTTGTCCTACAAAGCATAAATTATCTCGAAAAAACTTTTCAATCATACTCAGTTATTAAAAATAAGAGTAAATACTTTGAAAAGTTTCTCTATAAAGAGTTGAGCTTAATTTTTTTTTAAATCTCTGACTGACTACTCGCCTTATATCGTCTCATTTGATAAGATTTAGCGTTTGTCCATTGAAGGAACACTTTCACTCATTCATAAAATGCTTTAGTGGCCTTAATATGGTGTTTTATCTCCCATATCTATGGCAACGACAAAAGTGACAAATCGCAGCCCTTGAATTTCGTTATTCTATCTTCGTAGAAGTGTGGCTCTAAAGATCTGAACAATCTTATTTTATCTCTGTGTAATTGAAGGAAACATCTGGAGGAGATTTTCCTTTACTTCGCTAACCCCAAATACCTTTAGTACAAAGGATAACAATATAATAAATTTATTTTTTTCAATAGACGATCACAAGTTGTCAAATCACCATCGAAAGTAGGAAATTCTAGGTGCTCTAGGAAACTAAGCGCCCGAGCCTCACAAAAAAATTCGCACACGCCCCATATATCTTATATCTTCTTTTAATTTGTTTTGACCATGACGTTGAGTCGTTCTTCAAAAAATTTTACAATGGCACTCTTAGCGTACAGTGCACCTGAAAAGTGTGAATCGTCAGCACTTTCTTTGACAAAATGTGCTGTTTTACCACTAGTTATAACTATGCTTTTATGAGTTCAATAATCAGCAATTGCAGCGCGGGTGGAGGACTCCATTCAGGCCATTGAGGTCATTATTTTTGCACCAAACTACTAAAAAGTAATTTTTTGTTTGAATGCTTTGGTCTTTCCCCTTGCGTTCTCTTTTCTTCTCACCTGTAAGCTTTAAAGACTAAAACTGCGAAGCAATAACGCAACACCATAGGTCCATTGGGGAGAAGACTATCAACGGTCATCTGGTCCCGCCTTCACGGACTACTGATCCATTTCAGTTCGTAAATTGTAACCATTAGGATCCTTTGATACTTCATAGAGATCGGTTAATGCAAATTGGAAAGCAGTACTGTGGCGCCGTTGCGTTACGAGAAAATTGATGTCAGCCAGAAAAGCCCAAGTAACTATGCGGCACTTTTCAAAAAGATTTTGATTCGATGATTGTTCTACGAAACATGAAGGTTCTCAGGAGTCAGTAGCCGTATAGAACAATTTCACTAGCGAGATGCGTAGCCACAAGAGGATGAGAGTTTCAGCCATACTTTGACGCACCACATGATTTGGGTTTGATGAGATGCACGTCTATCTAATGAAAGTTTTGGCAATTCTGCTTATAATAAATCTAAATCAGTGGAATCAGCTTTATTAGTCCAATTACAACAAGTCTTTACCAGAAAATTTGAATTTTGTCCCACATGAAAATTCACCAAAAATTTACAAAAATTGCCGCGCACTTACTCCATCGTTGCCGCCTCCTGAG